CAATTTGTATGGGAAAGTAAGCAATCTAATCTAACAAAAAAACCTAGCTATCTTAGAAAATAACAAAAATTACAAAATCTATGACAGTTTGAGAATGTTCTAACAAAACTATAACTTATTGAACAATTTGCAGATGTGTACAAGACTCATTTGTCGTCGAATATATTAAATCAAATCTTATGTTAAAATTTAATGTTACAGGTTGATACAAAGAGGGTTTAAAATATATCATGTCAAAAACATGTAAGGCAAGACTGAATAATCGGTGTGAAGTTTGAACTTAGCACTCATGCACATGAAGTGAATCTCATATAGATATCCAAACTTTATAATCTAAAAAATATCATACGGAGTTTATCAAATCTTAAAATATGGATATGTTGGGGTCACATCCGCACAAGTTTTATTGCATCTAAGGTCATCCATGCGAATGATCTCTCCCAAACTATGTCAAGAAGAGAGACTTGGGTCGGGTGTGACTTTAACTTTTCATTTTAAAATTTGACCAATCGTTGCGAACTGAACGATCAATTCTGTGGTAATCGACCAAGGAAATATCATTCACGTAAGTGTTAGGCACCATATGAGTTCTTTGTTCGAGTAAGCAAGTTATCACCCTAGCCTTTGCTTGGCAACCCTACCGATCAGCAGAGGACACTAATACCAGTAAGCGTTATGGACATATTCCTAGCCATAGCTATCGGAAGAGGATCGATGTAAGCTGGTGCATTGGTTCTGCATGATTGTAGAAGGAAGAGGATGGACAAGATGCCACGTTAGAAAGTCCAACATAAAAGCTCGGCAGTAGTCCCACCAAATCTAACATTGTATTGGAGCCAAGTTCTACCCAGCTTATTTCATGTGTGTGGCCCGACCCCATTCGTGGAATTTCACGTGTCCTTCCTAATCCGGCATACATGTAAGTGTGTGTCTTAGTATCCCACATCACATGAGTATGAGTTTATATGCTCTATATGAGTACGAGTTTATATGCTATACATCTATAAGTTTAAGCTTTTAAGACAGTTGACAATAACCCTATAAAATCTTTTGGGCTCTTGGAAATCTTTCTCTCTGATTCCAACGTTTGATTAATAAAACAAATTAAGCTTTAAATTATAAAAATGCTCTGATGTAGAGAAGAAAAATATTCTCTTGCATCTCTTTTTACATCAGCAATAGTTTAATATATCTCTTGCAACAAAAAATATACCTTCAAATTTTGGGCTAAGCTCGAGGGACTTGGCCTGGCCCAAAAACTAGATGGAAGGAATCTCTCTATGCATTTCTCGTAGATAATTTGGATAGTCCCGTCCAATGTGTGGCCGTCCGGTACTACAAACTACAAAAGGAGACATAGCATTCCTATGTGGGTATGGCAAAAACCAAACCCCGGAACTCAACCTCGATAGGCCATACCGAACTACCGGTACCGACTGTCATCATTTTCTATCCGGAAGGCTATGTCATTTACAACCCCGTTGTATTTCGGAGTCTTTGATCATCTCAGGAAAATTACAACATTATGGATAATTACTAGTGACAATATTCAGAAGTTGCGAAATGTAAGGTAATTGACGATTATTGATCATCAATTAGCAATGATAAGTCCTGTCTCTTACGATAATCTAAGACAAATTACTAGTTCAAGGAGATTGACTCGTGTTATGAACTCTAATAACTAAATTACTACATGAAAAGGGAAATTAATTATTGGACGTGCAATCTAGATTATGACAAGATTGGTCAAATTACAATTGTTCGGGTTATATCCACTAATTACAAGAACTACAAAGTATGACTTTTATTGCAAAATTACAATATTGTTAGAAGGAGTAAACATCTCTTAAGACGATGTTATTTGCCTTATAGGAAGTACTATGATTAACTTTGAACTGAGTAATTTAGCTTGAAATTAAGGTTTGCGAATTAGCTTGGTGTATCGTGGATGCAAATGAAGTCCATGGATTATGTTTTATATTAGTAAAGTAAGTTTCACTATCTTAAATTACCTTCCAATACATAAACTTTTGTAAATATAACAATTATCTTATAAGTCCCGAATCACTGTTTTTATCGTAAATTGCCTTCGTACATCATAATACTCCACAACTTGCTATGCTATAACATGTTATTTTGACTTAAAAAATTTGGGATAATTACACAAATGGTTCATGAACTTAGGCTCAATATATAATGTCGTCCCAAAATCTTTAATTTGTTTAATGTGGTCCATGAACTTATGCACAACGTTGTCCCTGAATTTTTTATAATATTCAATCTAGTTCATAGTATATAAAAATATCCAATGTCATTCTTCCGTCACTTTAAGTTCAGAGAAAATATTGAATATTTATATATAGCCAAGAGATTAAATTAAAAATGTATTAGATATTCAAAGATCGCGTTGCGTATTTAGCTATAGTTCAGAGACCATTTACGTCGCTTTCCAAAAACAAAACTTCTCTCGGGAGTATGCATGCTTCTAAGAGAAGTAATCTTTGTTTTTTTTTTTTTTCAAGGGAAAGTAATTAATTGATTATTGGCCAGAAAAGAGGGGAAAATCAAATAGGGTAGCAGGTAATTGATGAGTGCAATAGTGCTTGGTTAAAGTAGAGGATTACCTGTGCTTTTCCTTTTTGCCCCCTCTCCCTTTCTTTTGTCCTCTTTCCGTTCCTAGCTTTTGTCTCTTTTTTAGAGCCCTTTTAAGACAGTATTGTACCTTAGAAATCCCCTTTTCGAAAAATCCCAGGGCTTTCATTCGAAAATCTTTTAGGTTTTCGCTCTTATTATCCTAATTTTGCAGTTTTCACATTTTAGTTTTTGTTTAACGCAGCGCACTCAGAATTTCTTCGAAAAAATCGCATGTAAACTTTTTTACTAGTTTTTTGTATATGAAATTGACATAAAACAAGTATCGATGGAAGTTTAGAAAAGTAAGCCGACGGTGCTTTTGTGAAACGGTACAAACAAACTATCTCTCTTCTTCGTAGAAATTTTTGGGATTGATTGTTCATATCACGTGCCGTGATCGTGCTTATAAATTATTTTTGCTCTCACATGAGACATCGTAATTTCGATTCCATTCGTGCGGGAGCCGTGGGGTGTGTTGAACCAGCCATAGTACACCCACCTCTCTCTTAAGAGAGATGGAGCTTCTTTTTCTCGTGAAAATTTCTTGGATGATTGAATTTGATTAGGTGAAAAAACAAGTGAGAATGATGCTACCAAAATTTAACAAGGTACGGACGCAAAATGATGATTAAGAACACAATCGACTTCGACACTTGAGTGGGATCTTTAATGTGATTTTTATTTTAATTCTATTATGAATTTGTGGCTTGCCCACTTTTATTTTTTGTTAAATTCATTCGGTATAGCCTCCGAGAATAGGATGACGGCGGCTATATATATATTTAAAAGTATATGTTAAAAACTTATTTTAGTGTTGGGACAATATTTATGCTTCCGAAGAAGTGAGAGAAGAAGGGGTTATCGATAAATAGTTCGGTTGCTACTTAATAAATAGGTATTGTAAATTGCATAATTACTTTTCCAAAGCAAGAAGAGCTATTGCATAATTTGGTTTGCCCAGATAGATTTTGTTTTTAACTTTTCGCTCAGGCTCCGTTTATTTTGCAGAATACATTTTTCAACAAAATATTTTTTGGCATTTAAATCGTTTAGAAAAATGAGTCAACAGAAAATGTTTTCCAAAATATGATTAGATATCGATGCTTGAACTAAAAACCCTACGTTTGGGCATGAAAACCCCAACGCTTGTTCTTGGGCCCTTGGCATCGGCTTCGAGCAGGGGCATGGTTCGTTGGGATCCATCAAGGCCAAGCCCAGGTCCAAAGATGCCGAGTCCATAGAAGTTGGGCTCGGGATACCAGCGCCCATGGCCGGGCCTAGGACTCCAGTACCATTGCCCAACTCCCCGAAACCCCAGCCTGGCTCCACAAAGATCGGATTCGTGAACCCAGTGCTCATGCTCGGATCTCTAACACCCGGGCTCAAGTCCATTGAGGTCGGGCTTAGGTCTGTAGCGCTTGGGCTCGAGACCTCACACTAGGGACCAGATCTCGAGCCTGAGTCCATCAAGGCTGGGATCGTCACTCCGGTGCTAGTGCCTAGGTCCCCGGCACCCTGGCCAATGTCCATTGAGGCCGAGCCCAGGCCTTGGCACTCGGGCCCGGGACCTCGGTGTCTATACTCATGTTCATTGATTCCGAGCCAAGGATCTTGGTGCTTGTGCTCGAGACCCTAGTGCTCGGGCCCGCGCCTAGGTTCATCGAGGTTGGGCTCGTGTCTATCAAGGTTGGGCTCGTGTCTATCAAGGTTGGCCCCAAGACCTCAGTGCCTGAGCCTAGTTCCCTGACACCGGCGCCTCGAGACCCCGAAGCCCGTGCATCGGTCCCCTGTGCCTAGGTTGGGGTCCAACGAGGTTGGACCTGGGATCCTAGTACCCGTATCCTGTTACCCGCTGTCAATGTGAAAATTACTAAAGTTTGAATAATGTATGTCTATTTAAGGAATTTTGATTTTCTTACAAAATAACAAAAAAATATTTTTCATTTTATTTTCAAGTTTCAAATAACAGAAAAATATTATCATTCTCTAGAAAAAATTTTCGCAGTTTTCGTTAAATAAATGGAGCTTTAATCTAAATCTTGCGGCAGTTATGGTTTGATTTCTTCATAAATCGAGACACTTGGAACTTTTATGATATGTCAATTTCGGCACGAAAAATTCATATTAAATTTTTTTCGTAATTTTGAATTTTGGGGGCTGTTCTGAACTTTTGAAATGAAAATCAGTGCAAAAGTTTTTGCTTTCCGAGCGAAAACGGACAAGTGCAATTATCTGCTCCTGGTTTCAGACAAGGACCTTTGACGTGACTCGACCCGACCGGCAACGTTGCAGCATTTCCCCAGTTTCACGCTCCACTCTGCGCTTTCTCCGTACCCAAGCCCCAAAAAGAGAAGGAGAAAATGGAAAGGAGGTGTCGACATTCTCCATTTTGATTTCAGATTTTCCCCGGAAAATTCGAACACCGTCTCTCCGTCGCGATCGATCAAGCTCAGAAACCTCTCACTCACTCTCTCTCTCTGAGACACACTCGTCGACCGCCATGAACGCTTCGCCTTCGCAGATGGTGCCGCTTCCTCTTTCCGTCGAGGACGCGATACGCCGAATCTGCACTGATCAGAACCAGCCTCCCCCGAACGCGTCGACTCGGAGGAAGCTCGCGTCGCTCAACGAAGAGGCCGCGCTTCGGGTCCTGAGGTCGACAGCCGCGACGAAAATCAAGTGGTCCATCGACGGTCTGATCTCCCGCATCATCGAAAGCGGCACCGGCGCCGGCGCCGGCTCTTGTCCCTCGCCGTCTCCGTCGAAGATCGCTCGCATGTCCTTGAATGATCAAAGTCCGGCCCGTCAGTGATGTTCTTTTTCGTGGAGCTTTCGTTCTCTTTTTTTCTTTTTTTTTTTGGTTGTGTGGAGGTCGTGCTGGTGATTTTTGTGCTTGTAATTCGGAGAAATTAGAGCAATAGGGGACGGTCAATCATCGCAAATTTGGAAGTTGCGTTGTTAATAACAACTTGTTATCACCATTTGCGGTGTCAACATCTTGTTTAGATTATCCGATTTGATTCGTTTTGGAGAATTGACATGTTCGGAGGGACGATAGTGACTGGTGAGCAAAGACATAACTGTTGCATGAGGTGACGCAGCCTCTCGTTTTTATATGATAGTTTTTTTTTTCTATTTTTGTGATGAGAGCGACTGAACTATATGTTTTTGTTGTACTATCGCCTTTGTTTGCCGGTGTTTATTGTTAGGAAATGGAAAACTTGCTTCCTACATGTCATGTTTTGTCTTCCTGTGTATAATGATGAACATGGATTGTTCAAAGTATGCTCAATGTACGCGTAAAAGAATCTGCTGGTACGGTGGTTTTCCTTGTTTTATGTTCACTGTCTTGTTTTTGTGGTGAGAGTGACTGAATCGTATAAAATGGCCTCTGGTTACTTGTGTTTTTGTTTGGAAATTGAAAAAGAAGAATAATGCTCTAAACTGCATCTTCTTTTCATCTTCCGGCGCTATTTGTCCAGCAAGAGTGTTTGTTCAAAGTTTGTACAAAAAATTTGAGCTGGGTATTCTTCTGCTAGACAATGGATTGGGAAGCTCTCCTGTGCGAGATCAACAGATTGGAAGTCCGAGACTTCTTCCGAGTTTGCAAAATTGGAATGGACAAGCAGTTAGCCCCCACATGAAGGCGTTGAGCGAACTGGAGTTTAGAAAAGCATTTCTTATTCTAAACTACATTGGGGAGTAAGTTCTCTTCTTAGTTGCTCTGTCTGAATGTTGTCAGCTCTGCATTTTGAGAGTATTGGGCTGCTATTTTATGCAGAGGAAATCTTGAAGATGCCATAGACAGCGATAGGATTCGACTGCTGAAAGATCTCAGAATGATCGAATTTGAGGAAGTGGTCTGGAATGCCATTGGGCGGTTTCGTGTCAAGAAAGATGACCGTTGTAAGGTAACCTTTAGGAAGCGATTCATTTGTGCATAGTTTCCAAAACTAGTCCCTTCTTTTCATTTTGGAAATTGTCCCTCAATTGTTAGGAGGCAGATTGTTATGAAGTGACTTGGAGCATGGATCACTTTGATATGTGGCTTAAAATTGGAAACGTGGAATGGTATTAGTTAGGAAAGTGATACGAGAGGCATTGGCCATTATAATATATATAATTTGAGCATGATATGCTTGCCAGATGATTTGGTAAAATGACCTAAATCAAAAAACTCTTGTCTGATACATATTATAAATATTTGATAAAATAATGGCCAAAATACACAAATGTGCGTGCATGCGCGCTGGAGAGAGAGAGAGAGAGAGAGAGAGAGAGAGAGAGAGAGAGAGAGAGAGAGAGAGAGAGAGAGAGAGATACATATTTATATGTAAATATGGAAGTGTGCTTATTATTACTATACAATACTAGAAATGTTCATGCAAGTGTTTAATTGCAAATTTACTGTAAAACAGGATGAGTATTGTAGATCACGTATCATGAGGGAATTAATGATGGTTTGTGTAGTATTCCATTATATTGTCTCTAACATCTTGCAATGGATGATGGGAAGTAAAAACCTGTGTTCTGATGTGTATAATTAATTGTTAGTTTAGAAATGAGTGAGGAAAGAGTGGTTAGTTTGAGGTTGCATGGACATATAATCTCTTAATGCAACGATCCTTATGTGTTGGAATGTGGTAATGGGAATTTTTTTTTTATCATTTGATTTGGGAACATGATGGCAATGCTGCTCGGTTGAGATGATTATACCCCATATAAATAACTATAGGTGAACAGTACCAATAGAGCTTAAGGTTTGTTGCATTTTGTGGTTTTTTCTCTCACATATTAAATTGAGCAGTACGATTCATAATGTTTCTAATTTAGATGTTTAGCGCATCACACTGCTCGCAACACCTTAAGGACAAAAGAGTGCTTGACATTAGCATTTGCACATCACTAGGATTTTCTTTTATCAAAAAAGTCTTAAATGAATATGATCCATTTTGTAATTTCTTCCGAAAATCCAGAATAATTGGACAAGAATGATAAGCCACGGTGCTTGTTTGGCAAGGATGAAGCTTTTTCGTGAGAATTGTGGTTGTTGAACTTATCACTAATGCATAATGGGTTGCGTAGTATGTGGCATTTAACAACTAGAAGAATCACTTTCATCACTATTGAAATTTTTTTTTGCTCGCATGCATGGATGTGGTGTGGACACTCTCTAGCTGTGTATTGTCTCTCTATGTCAGCTCTCATGGCGGTTTCTCCACTTTTCTTGTAATAGAGTCCGTTTTTTGTTGTCTCCACAAGCTCCTCATGTATATAATATGTTAGAATAGCAAAGAAGTCAGCCATTTACTTCATCTTTTTTCATATTTGGATTTCTTTGTTTGACTAAACAAGTTAAATTTGCAGATATTTTTAAAGAGAATGAAAGGCCTAACCTCTTTTCACTTGTCAATGCCAATATCAAAACAAATAAGAAAAAATTTCATTAATTCCATTACATCTCTCATTCTAGGTGCCTGTAGAATAAACATGATGACATCTTAGTTGAAACTGATCTCTTGGACTAATTGGTGCTAAATTTTATGTTTAATGTACAAAACTTAATTCTGAACTTTTTATCAAGCAATGTTAGGTATTAACCGTGGTAGTCAGAGATACTTGAGCTTAGGAATACATGGTTCTGGAACAAATTATGTATGTGTTAATTTTATTTTATTTTGAAGTGGAAAGGGATAAAATATCCAAACTTTTAGAAGATTATTCTAGTTATCTATCCTAATATTCTTAATAATTCTGATTAAGGTGTCACCTGAAACTTTTTCGGTGTTTATGTTGTTGCTGCTTTCAGCATGTTGACTGGGATTCTGGAAGGACACATTTCTACCATTGTCACGTTTCACCTCAGGGGTGTTATTGTTTTAAAGTAAGTTTCTTGGCTTTTATCTTGAACATATACTGTAAGACTTGAATTCTGACTCTTAGGTTATATCAGCAATGGCTCTTTCTTCCCAACTAAGTTGTGGAAATGATTTTTCCAGAGAGTGGGATTAGTGCATCACTTAGTCTCCTTTTCCTCTTTTCGCACTCCCCTTGTATATTGTAGTTATCAGCATGCGTAATTTATATGGAATAAATTTGAGTTTAATTTAGCAAATGGGTGATCTGTTAATTGAAAAGATTGTAAGTGGCATTGGTTGGTGCACCTTGGCAGAATGCCGACTCGCATCTTAATCACTGCGTTTTCTGTATTTGGCTCTTGCTGCTTTGAAGTTGTCTAACACTGGCTTGGTCATCTGATATATTAATCTTGATATGATCGAGTCATTTAGAGAGGAAAAATGCAGTAGAACAATGTGCTTTGAAGTTGTGTTCTTTACTACCATAAAGAATGTGTTTATTTTTTCTTCCATGCCATCTGTTTATTTCACCGGTCAGCTTCTTCTGGTGCCGAAAAGAAAAGTGGTTTGACTTTTTGGATCCTGGTATCAATTGCCCAAGGGCATTTGGTAAGCATAAGAAGGTTCTAATTATCAAAGTAGTGATTACACGTATTACAAATAAAGCAATGCATTCGGATATTACAGAGTTTCCTTATTTGGTTGTTAAGAAAGTTCCCTACTGGCACTTTTGAACAAAATCCTTATGATTTTAGCTTCTTAATGATGATGCTCGAGACTGTGTGTGCGCATTCAGGGACCTTACCTTAATAAGACGAGAACACTTCTACAAAAGGCATTAGGAGATGAGAATGTTCTCCTTGTCAAGTTGGCAGAAGAGATGTCGGATGATACTCTTACTATGTATAGAAAGATTGCAAAGGAAGGGATTCCTGTTGGTTTGCGTCGATACAAGTTCTTCGGTAATTTTCATTGCTTGTGCTCTTTGTGTGCAGTTTTGTTCGTTGTGTGTATGTTCTTAAGCTTTTATTATGATATTTATCAGAAGATGTGAATTTGTGAGCAATTTGTATCATCAAATAAGACAACCATGATAAAAGGAATCAGAAAAATCGGTCATGATACTGTATTATGGCTTGTATTTGGCTAATGTATAAATTGTTGACAGCTCTCCACTGTTATTTAATGTTGAAATGGAAAATATAGCTTCACACAAGCATGAGTTTGCAGTTTGCTTGTAGTCATTTATTCTTTTGTTGCACACTCCCTTTGCTTTTTTCTCTCTTTGGGAAATGTAGAGTTTGTTTGGAATGACCTTTCGTATTAACTCTTAGTTTCATAAAATCTTGTTGATCTCACAATGTTTACATGCATAGTCATTACATGTAACTTTTCAGAATATACGAATGTTGACATGTATACTCATTACAATTTTTATATAGTATTAAAAAAAACAATTCTTTTTTCCATTTTCAAAATTTCAGAGCAAATTTAAAAGCATGAAAATGAAATTTCGTAAGTGTAGATGTATACTTATGTGCAATATGTATTCATTTACTGTCTGCTTGAACTTTTGGGACAAGCGGCTTCCCAGCATTATATGAGAGCACAAGTTAAGAATTCAATCTTATTGTTATTTTGCCAAAATTTCTGCATTGTCTTTAATTTGTTGGGAGAACTTGTATCCTAATTAGATGAATCTTGGTTGTAATCATGTTTCTTGTTTTCCATTCGACAATGATTTTACCCATCCATGTTCCTAAGTAAAGCGCGGGAGTGGGGATTCCTTGCCTCTGCTAGCTTTTGTCTTTTGACACTATGCAATACGCAATACTCTTCCCCCCGGTCTGTATACATTTTCTGGACATTTTTTATGCTCGGCTTGCGTCTAGAACCAGATGCGCAGTCATGATAATTGCATCAGCACATACAAGCGTTCATATGTTGGTTATCTTGGTTTCTATTTCACAAAGTATTTTTCCGTTTTTCTTTTGTTATTAATTGTATGGCATGCCTAACGGAGATTTGTTTCATCTTAGTTTTTGGAGCCTCGTTTGCTGTAATGAGAGCTTAAATACATGTTCAACTGCCAATAAATCTTTCATCCTTGCTGATAGTGTTTAAGGATGGGGGCAAAGAAGAGAGAAAAAGAGACCCTACTACATCCTCTGTGAGGTGTTACTTTGTTTGCATGGAGTGCGAGGCACTTAAAGAAAGGAAAACAGTACATGAAGCTAGATGCTTCTTCATGCATGCACATACAGTGTCCAGCATATCCCGCTACATGATACGGTTCGTTGCTGTAGAAGTTTCTCATCTGAACTTTGCATGAACTATATTATATCCTAATGACGTGCATCTGCTAATAAACAGGTTGTCTCTTATCTTGTCCAAGACCGTTAGCTTGGAAGTTGACTGGAATCGAGTGACGATTGAGAGAATTAAGGATAAGGATTGCAAGGTGTTATCTTTTGATTATTTCGTGAATGAAAACTTGGTGTCATCTAAAGGTATTCTTTTACTTCGCTCCAATGCTTAGTATGGTCAATTTCCTGTCTAATAGCAGGACAAAGAGGGAAATTCCATCTATGATAAGAACGGAAAACCACTTATACATACTGATGGAACTGGATTTGTTTCCGAGGACATAGCTTTGAAGTGTCCTGGAAATATTTTCAAGGGAAGAGGTGTGATTGCTCCTGCTTTTAAGGTTTGTGACCTGTGGATATGGGCTATCATATTAATGGTATCTTCGTCTTGCTATGCAAAAGAAACTGATCTTCAAAAATAATGACAGCGATAAAAAAGGAAAACTGGTAGTACGTAATGATGCCATTTATGGTTAATTGTGGGTTATATCTTTAGATGGTATAGTCATGATGACACTGTAATGGCAATACTACATTTGGCAAATAGGATGATGCTGCCTGGGTATGATGAATTACTGGACTGTCTAGTAATAGTAGTATTTTGTTTAAGGGATGCAATCTCTGCAATAAATTTGAACAAAATGCAGATCTAAGCAGTACACAATGTGAATTTGCAGCTTAGGTGTTGCAGATCGCAGTTTGGTGAGTTGCTTTTACTGCAAAAAAAGCATTGTTAATCGATCCTATTGTGATCAATTTCCTTCTTACATGTAAAGTGAAGATATCTTTTCATAAGCCTTGAGCAGTCACCTTTGTGTTTAATGCCTTTATTGATATCGTTAGTGACTAATGTTTTCAAAGTACAGTAATTATAAAGTTATGGATTTGTTGCCTCTGTTCAACTATTTTAATTTCGTATCTTTCTTTAGGCCTTTCTTTCCCTCATTCAAATGGACGTGTTTTAAATGTTAGTCACGAGTAGAAGAATTGAATTAAACTAAGCTCGTTCCTTTCTGGGGAGTTCTTTGAGATATTTTCAGTGCCACGGGGTCCACAAGAATGCGTTGCTTTCTTCCCTTCTATTGTGCATTTTTTAGGGAAAAATTGTTAAGAAGGCATATGACTGAATACATATTTGTCTTGTCTCTCATTTCTCTAGTTTTAAGTTAATTTCCTAGAAGTTTGTATTTATAGCTGTTCTAGATGCTACTTGCCTATGATTTGGTCATTTTTCTGTTATCCTAGGGATTTGCTGGCTGCGGCGATGATGAGCAGATACTTAGAGAGGGCATCTGTGATCCGGTAGTTGATGGAGATTTTTTTTTTGTGCTGGTGCTTGATTATTGTACAGTATGTGCAGGTTGAACTTTTTGCTCTTTAAACTTCTCTTGCAGCCTTTGCTGATTCAGTGCCGTCTATACAATGATGGTAGAGCCGTCAAGGGAACTCTTCTCCTTGATAAGCAAGTAAAGATTTTGCTGTATTATGCTGTTTTCTGTTCTGATTATTGGAGTGCTGTTTTCTGTTCTGAATATTGGAGTGTTGTCATTTCCTGTCATGTACTTCTGCTTTGAATTTATTTAATATTTTAAAAACTAGAATTTTCTCTTACTAAGTCCTATATTTAATAAAAAACAATGTGGTATAAATTGTTGGAAGTGAAATTGATCTTTTCATTCTTCCTTTTTGATATCAAACATGCGTTGGTCCTCCAATTTTATTAGCAAAATAAGATAAATATTGTTATGTAAGATTTACTAGGTTTTCATGCTATTTAATTATTCTCCAGACTGGTTTCATGAGCCCGAATCAAATTTGTTTGGTGGTTGACATGAATGAAATTTGCTCTCCAGCTTCATTTATGCTGCTTTTAGCTATAATGTATCAGTATGAGAGTGCAATAGAAGTCTCATGTGTTCTGGTGGGCTTTTCCTCCGTCCATCATTGCTCACAAGAGGAAGCAAAAAAGGAATGCTGTTCATAAAGCCGGTCGTGCAGAAAATTGTTCAGATCATTGATGTTGTTAGAGTGTTTTGGTTGCTTAGGAAAATCCACATTGCACTATTGAGTATCATTTCAGCTTTGAGCTCTAACTGTGAGTCTAGTTATTAGTTTTGCAGCTGCAATAATTCTCTATATTGCGATTTATTTCATTGTTTCTATCGGATCATAAATATCTTCCATTCTGATTGTTTTGTTTGAATTTTGATCTTTAGCTCCCCCCTCATACAATTCATATTCGACCGTCGATGATCAAGGTTGAAAAGGACCCTAAGCTTTCAGATATCAGGACCATTGAATCACTGGAAATAGTACAAACAAGGTACAACCAGCATATTTTGCCAGCAAGCTATTATTGGCTTAATTAATTCTCTGAGGTTCTTATGGCACCTTCGACCCTAGTACTGTGATCACAGTGGTATGTGTGGGTTTGTTGCCCTGCTATACTTCTGAGTTGTTGATTATTATGTTAAGATTTTCCTTTGCGGTTAGCTGGTTAAAAGACCCCTACAAAAGCAGACTGAAAAGTTTGCTGCTTTCCTGTTCTTTCAGCAGTTTAATTTGAACATGGGACATGTTTTCCTTGTGAACTAATTTAGCAGAGTCGGTAGCTTGTGTATTTGGCCTAGTGCTTTTTAATGTAACTTCAAGTTGAACACATTATATCAGCAAAACCATATACATATATATATGTGTGTGTGTGTGTGTGTGTGTGTGTGTGTGTGTGTGTGTGTTATATCAGCTTCCTAGGATCTGGGGATCTAGTTAGTAAAGAAGAAGAGTAGTTTGTTGACTATCTAGTTTGTTGACTATCTAAAATATCTTCTTTTAAATACAGATATGTTGTTGTCAAACAAGAACAATGAATGTATTATGTTTTCATAAAATTGCATGAAAATGATATAAAGTTCTAAGATAAAAGTTTAAGTATTCTATTACTAGAAATAATATGAAACTAAATAAATGAAAGAGCATTGTAACTTATATAAAAGCCATAAGCAATATACAGAATTAAAAGTAATAATATTAAACCAACCATGTAGGTGGTAAATTAAGGCGAAAAGGGTAAAATAGTAAGAAGAAGTAAGGATGTATAACAAAAACAGACCAACCACAGGCGGTATAACCTGCCGCTTGTGGAGTATATTGCTGTAATATAAATTGCAATTAAGAAAGATTACTGATATTTAAATAATATCGAAAGATTACAAGTGCAAATATTATAAGATTACAAGTGCCAAAGCATATAAAAGCCTTTGTATTATCAGATCATGAACAAGATCTGGAACATGAGGTGTTACAGGGATGGTATGAAACTTACAGATGTGTGAATGGAAGTGAAGATATTCAAAGGTAGATCTGGGTGAGAGATATGGAAAGATTGAGATATAATCTCTCTTATTTTCAAAAGGAGAAAGGTTTCTTTGGAGAAAGGCTTTTCTAGATATCAGACTGTTTTCTGAAAAGAATTCGATGCCCTCTTTAGATTGAAGAGTTCAGGTTTTAAAGGTATCTTGGTCACTGTGGAGAGGGTTCATGGGACCTTACTGTAGTAAACAGTAAAAGGTAAAAGTGTACAGTGATACAGTGATGCTTTTATAAAAGTAGTCAGACATAAAAGTTGACAGCTATGAGCTTCTTTCGGCTCTTTTGTCATCATTTCAAAATCTGGATAAGGATTCAGGAGGGTCCTCTTCTTCCTCTTCGTCTTCATCCTTGACATCTCTCCATTTGATACCGGATATACCTGGTATACCATAGCAATCGTCTTCATTGGAGTTTTCACTATGATGAGAATGGGAAGATTTTGAATTTTCAAGTTGAGAAAGGGCTTATTTTAGCATTCCTGCTAATTGTTGATGAGACTTAGCAGATGCTAGTTTTGACAGAACGAACCTTTTATCGTGTAGAAAGGGAGTGATATTATTTTGATTGATTGGGCTAGGGTTTCTGTTATGCAACCATTCTGTGACGGCTTGTTCAGCAACTCTATCCTAGAATTTAGAACCGACCTACCATTTGACTTTAAATCTTCTGATGAGAATGATAGTGTTCCAATCTATGGATTTTCTGTAATCAAAATTCCATGCTGTGACCCATGATACTCCAAAATATATGAAAAAGAGCATCAGCTGTGGAAATCAGACTTTATTTGAAAGGGGTGCAAATTGGTTGGAGAATATTTTGTAACTGGGTTGCACCCATGGATGGAGGATTTCAACAATGGAACCAAAATGTTTCCACCATTTGATGAACAAGAAAGGAACTTGTCTAATATCAAAGTTTTCAAAGAAAAACAGTTAAGTATGGGTATTATTGGCATTTTTTCTTAAGAAAGTATTCCATCAAGTTTGTTGGTAATCAAAATATGAGTGAGGATTTTTATGGAAGTGGTTCGTTGATTTTGACCTCAAATTTCATCATGGTTGTAGGATGGGGTTTCCACTGAGAAGGATGAATAATTTTAATGAGTTTTGTCAAAAAAATGTTTAATAGTGACGGATTTTGTTTCTGTCAAAATCTTTTCATAAAACTCATTTGTTTTGTAAATATCATGAGGAACATAATTAAAATTTTCAGAAAACGTATTTTTTGCAAATATGTAAGGGTTCTCATGATAAAATCCATTTTCAACTGTACTTACATTTTGGTATACAGTTTTTTGAATGAAAACAGATTTTTGTTTTTGAGGGGTTGCCTGAGTTGGCTGAATAACCATCTCACTAGAAATTCGTTTTCTTATTGTCTTTTGATTGGCTATAGGGATAGGAGAAGGATCCACACTTACTATTGATTGTTTTAGTGACTGATTATTGAAGGCTGCTTGAAGAAGTTTGATTGCTTCTTCATGAGATAGTTAAGAAATATCAAAGGATACAGGTTCTTTGGTAACTTGATTTGATATGGTAGTGATATTCAAAGATGGTTCAACAGGGTTGAACTGCTTGAAGCCAGGTCCTAATATCGGTTAGGCCCGAGGGTTTTTGCTTTGGGGTTTCGGCAATTTCTTTGCTTTGTCTTTTCGGGTAGGTTTATTGGGAGGCATTTTCCCTATAAAAATTCTCGTGAGAAAATCAGGTAAAGAATTTGTAATACCATTTATGAATTCAATATCAAAATCAAAAACTGATAGTATGGCTGGCCATCTGGCAAAAATTTGTTTTGAAGCGATATTTTGAACTGTTAAAACAAGCTCTTTCTCAATTTAAAGATTCAAATTCTTCCCATTCTCATCATAGTGGAAACTCCAATGAAGACGACTGCTATGGTATACCAGGCATACTCGGTATCAGATGGGGAGATGTCAAGGACGAAGATGAAGAGGAAGAAGAGGACCCTCCTGAATCCTTATCCAGATTTTGAAATGATGACAAAGGAGCCGAAAGAAGCTCATAGTTGTCAACTTTTATGTTTGACTACTTTTATAAAAGCATCACTGTATACTTTTGCCTTTTACTGTTCATTATAGTAAGGTCCCGTGAACCCTCTCCACAGTGACCAAGATGCTTTTAAAACCTGAACTCTTCAATTTGAAGAGGACATGAAATTCTTTTTAGAAAATTGTCTGATATCTAGAGAAGCCTTTCTCCAAAGAAACCTTTCTCCTTTTGAAAATAAGAGAGATTATATTTGGCAAAATGACACTATAAGTGCCATAAGTTGTGTACGGAGATCACTTTGGTGCCATAACTTTTTTTCGGATCACTTTGGTGCCAAGTCGAAGGAAAAAAGATCACTTTAGTGACTCCGGCCAAAAAAAGAGCCACGTCAGATTTCCGGCGAGCCATGTCAGCATCGGAAATTAATAAAAAAAGAGCTACGTCAGATTTCCGGCGACCATGTCAATATTGGCACTAAAGTGATCATTTTTCAAAAAAGTTGACACCAAAGTGATCTCCGTACACAACTTATGGCACTTATAGTGTCCTTTTGCCGATTATATCTCAACCTTTCCATATCTCTCACCCATATCTACCTTTGAATATCTTCACTTCCATTGTTGGAAGTCACACATATGTAAGTTTCATACCATCCCTGTAACACCTCATGTTTCAGATCTTGTTCATGATTTGAAAATACAGAGGCTTTTATATGCTTTTGCACTTGTAATCTTATATGATAAATTTACCTTGAACTTTTTTCGTGACACAAAAAATTTCAAATTATGCCATTTGTGACAAATTTATCCTGAACTTTTTTTTGTGACACGAAAAATCCAAAACTATGCCACTTGTGACACATTTACTTCACAATACTTTGGTGTATAGGCATTTTCGTCTTTTTTCTTTTTCTTTTTTTTTTCTTTTTCTCTCTCTTCCCTCTGCCGGCCATGGCGGAGGTAAGCCGGTGAGGGCTGCCTTCGCCGTATCCGGCGAGGGTCGCCCGACGCCTGGGTGGGTGAGGGCAGCCCTCGCCTGAGTCGGGCAAAGTCGCCCTCGCCAGATCCGGCGTTGGGTGACTTCGCTCGACTTAGGCGAGGGCTGCCCTTGCCAAATCTGGCGAGGGCACGACGCCGGCGAGGGTGACCCTCGCCGGCTTCCCTCCACCATGGCCGGCGGAGGGAAGAGAGCAAAAAAGGAAAAAAAAAACTGAAATAGGAAGAAGACGAAAATGCCCATGGGCCAAAGTATTACGGGGTAAATGTGTCACAAGTGGCATAGTTTGGAATTTTTCGTATCACAAAAAAAAGTTTAGGGTAAATTTGTCACAAGTGGCATAATTTGGGGTTTTTCGTGTCAAAAAAAGTTCAGGGTAAATTTATCCCAAGTGGCATAATTTGGGATTTTTGGTGATATTTTCCCTAACTTTTATCTTAGAACTTTATATCATTTTCATACAATTTTATGAGAGAGACTCTTCGTAATAGATGTGGCCCAAAGGGGGTTCCATTGGGAGTTTTTGAGGTACATAAAACTCAGTATGACCATTGTGGCCTACCTTGTGATACTGATGCTGTGACTCCTTGACAAGAATCTTCAATTGTATCAAAAGAAATGTGCGGAACAATCTATGCGCTATACCCAACAGAATAAGAGGTCCGTTGTACCCCTAAAACTGAGAATTTGAGACTTCTGCTCATTTACTTTTACGAATATTAGGCATTAGACGTGTGGCCTTCTTTGAAAAGTTTGCCACAGCATAGGCCTTTTTTGGCATTTTACCTTCATAGAGTGGAGTGTACTGCAGAAATATTGTATATAATACACTGAGTCCTACTGTCTGGTTAGAGACACCATGGATTTTGTGAAGCCAATCTATCAACTATATCCTAATTTCATTGTTAATTTCTTTTTAAGATGATGTCAGCAGATTGGAAAAATGTGATGCTTTGGATGGCTGACTTTTAAAATGCCAATTGTAGATTCAACTTAGAATGTTGATCATGATTCAGTCTTTATCAAATCTTATGGGTTTGAAACTGGCTGGAATTCTTGACAGTTGAATTCAAGATTACATTATGGAGAATTAGTAAATCCTGTTGCTGTTTGTTCGGAGCTTTTTCTGCCATCAAAATTTACCTTTCCGGAGGAAGTTATTAGACCTTGGTCCTCATCATTGCAGCAATAAACCAAAGCCTGCGTGTCTTTCAAAGACCTTGATTGCACTTTTAAGCTATGGTGGGGTCCCGAAAGAATTTCTTTTGGACTTGCTGGAGAGTGCTCTGGGAGATGCAAATAGTGTCTTCTCTAGTAAACGAGCGGCTTTAAGAGGTAGTAGTCTTCTGAACATTTGGACTGTTGAAATATTGTCTGTTCTTAAAACAGTCCAAAAAGAGATTTTGTCCGATTTGTTTTTCTTTCTCTTTACTTGGATTTGCTTCTTTTATTTTTCTTGATCCGAAATATGCATAAGTATAAAAGGGCATCTCTGTTTATCTTTGGTGCTTTTACGTCCTGTGGGTGCACATTTCCTTCAATTGCTATTTGATGTGTAATCATTTTGCCTTTTGTTTTCCTTTTGTTCTTTTACTGTATGAGCAGTTTCGGTGAATCATGGTGAGAAGGATGGTTTCATCGCGGCCAGAATGATCTTATCTGGGATTCCTCTGGACGAAACATACCTACAGAATCATCTATCCGAACTGATGCAGGATGAAAAGAAGAGTTTGAAAGGAGGAAGGATTCCTATTCCAGATTCTTACTATCTTATGGGGACAGCCGATCCCACAGGAATTCTTAAAAGTGATGAAGTTTGTATTATTCTGTATGTACTCTTAATCTCATCTTTCTATGTGTGATTGTTATTTAGAATGAGTCCGCTAATGAAAACTCAAGATAAACAGTCATTTTGTAATATTAATTTCAGAGTGCATCCCTTTGTTTGTAGTGGCTTGGTATGGTTATGGAATAACTTCTAACCATGCTGTAGGGTAAAATTCAAAATTTAGGTTTGCATATGATTTGGCTATTTGACTAAGCTAATGTTGTACTTTTATCCAACTTTAAGGAATTTCAAAGAAATGATTTGAATTTTGTGAGGACCCCATGCAAGTGATTCGCCTTTTCAAAGATCATTAAAAAGTCGTATTTTCTATTTCGGAAATAGATCTCTTTTGGCAAAATTTTGTCAGTGATCATCCATATTTTGAGATGTATAGAATTTTCGGAGAGTAGTGTGGTCAGGCTGGCAGTTGACATCAAACAATTGGTTTTACCCTCTCCCGGGGGCATGTCCGAGCTAGGAATCCTTTATATCCGGTAGGATCTACTTTCACATTGATCGGTAACTTCATTGTGATCCATTAGAGTATTCTGTTTTATGGGGTGACCAGTAAGAGTGTTTTGTCTTATAAGGCGATCGATTAAAAGATTTGTTATTGTTCATGTTTCCAAAGAAAATCATGTTTTATGGTTTAAGTATAAGGTCAGTCTTCACGAGTTTTTGATATGCATAGTTTTTTATTTTCGTTATTAAAATAACCATCATCCTATCCGATTTTTCTCATGCCATTTATAACTGCTTTTGCTTGAGCTTGCCAATCAATAATTGTAGCTATGCTTGTCTGGGGCTTAGATGTTTAATTTAGTTACATGCCTCCATATCTGGCCCTTGGGTTTAAACATCAATCGAGCTATATTGCTTTGGTGACATCCTATCTCTGGTTCTGTTCTTGTTAACCCATGTTTGAGTTTGATACAACTTTGGGGAAAAGCCTTTTCCGAAAAGGTGTGGTTACCTATTGCGCTTTGAAGTTATAATGCTGTTTCAGGTGTCTCCACTATTTAAATTTTTGCCTTGAATCATCAATGCAGTGACAGTGGACAAATTTCAGGGAAGGTATTAGTATACCGCAATCCTGGTTTGCATTTCGGAGATATTCATGTTTTGAACGCTACATATGTGGAAGCATTGGAAACAAAAGTTGGAAATTCCAAGTATGCCATATTTTTCCCCACTAGTGGACCGCGCTCCTTGGCCGATGAAATAGCTAGTGGGGATTTCGATGGGGATATGTATTGGGTTTCACGGAACCCTCAGGTTGGTGTTTACATGAGATTTGCTCATTCTTGTTAGTTGCCTTGTACTACATTTGGTTGATGTCCTTTGCCAGCTTATGATACCACCCTGGACCCCCTTCCCCTTCCCCCCAAACAAGAAGTTTTTCTACTTTTTTTTCTGCAGTTTCAAAATCCTTTCATGATTTTCCTCTTCTAAGTGAGGTTTTAGTAGTTGGATGGTATTTTTCACCATCCTTTTTTCTCATTAGACAATTTTCCCTTGCTTTACAGTTGATGCATACTGGTCTTCAAACTTATACTCAGAATAGTCGTATGCCATCGTAACTGGGTTCCAACTTGGCTAAGCAGTTGTTATGGAACCCTATCTGGCCAATGGAAAAGGAATTTAATGCTTTATTAGTTAAGTTATTTGAAGTTTAGCGAAAAAAGTTATCTGAAATTCATACATGTTATTTACTATAGTGACAGACCTTTAGGAGAAGATGAGCCCGGACTTAATTCCTGAACGACAGGGAAAACTGTTCATGCTCATGTTTGCTTTTATTAGTTTGGCTTTGCTCATAGGCAATGTAAAATGGCCTTTTCAGCCACTCTTTATGCATGTGCCTGTACCTCTTTCGTCTCTTCTTTGGTGTACAGGCCTAAACTTTGAAAGTAACTTCAAAATGAGTTGAAAAACATGACCGACCAACTGGGGCCTTTTACTGGAAGAGGATTGCCATCCTTAATGTCCTTGGATAATTTTTACATCTAAGATGTTTTGCTGTTGCTTTTTCTTGAATCTCTCGGGTAACATTGATTTGGCGGAATGGAAATGCAGTCTTTCACTTCTGTTGTTAGCCTGCTGGTCATTTGTCTCTGCATTGTTGTCTAGCACAACAAAAGAAAAAGTAAGTCGATCTAAGCCCATTGAATCATGACTATATCCACTATTTTGATATTAACATCTGATAGAGATTAAATTGTAAGAGTGGATCTTCTTTTGTTTCCTATTTATTTGGACCCCCCAAGAATCTGTTGATATCTCTGATTCCATTCTCTTGTTCCTAACACATCTAAGTTGGCAAGGAGATGTTCATTTACATGCTAACTGTCCAAGCCAAGCATCTTAAGAAGGTTTGGAGCACCTGTCAAAGAGCCAATATAAGAAAGTTTTTTATTTGATTTTGTTGAAGTATTATTCCACATCGATTGACAACGGGTCCTAAATGCTCTTTATATTCATGTGGTCTCCTTCCACCTAATAGCTTAAGCTTTTGGGTTGGACTTTCTAATAGATTTCCAATTCACCGTCTCTCTCATGTTATTTGTTATCAGAGTATTGGAAATGAAAACATTACCTTATTAAGTATAGTTAAGGAGTGCGGCACTCGTTAACAAGACCCTTTTAAGAATATCTTTGTTATTATATCTTGCAGTTGTAGATACCTGGATCAACCGTCTTTTTTTTTTCTTTTCCATCAAGGGTGAATCATGATTCAATGGCTATGTTCCTAACAATGAACTCATTGGTGCATCATGTACTGTACTTGTTATGTCATTTTGTGAGGCCTACCTTGCAGTGGTTGTCTCGGTAATTGTTTGGCAGTGATGATTGAACTATTTACAAAATTTGTTGATTCAGAATTGCCGAATGATGTCCGTTAAATCTTTCAAACAACCACTTATTGAGCGTGCAATTCATGTGTCAGCTGTTGAAGTACTTTACACCGAGCCAGCCATGGGTATCTGCTTCTGCAGCGCAAGACATGAACTGCAAGAAGCCAAGTGACTTGTCTTTTGAGGAGTTGGAGTGTGAGTTGATTGATTTATGGTTGAACACTAGATTTAACCCAAGGTAGGCGCTTTTATATGCATTTGGTTTTAGGTCAGTGCCGTAAATCTGAGACTCCATATTCTGGAACTACTTGTGATTGAAGAGAATGATCTAAGAACTAGGGGAAAAGAAAGTTCTCGGAAATTATTCCCATAAAATACCTCACAGAAATATGAATTTTCCCACCTTTGGCTGCACTTTTAAACTTTAGGTTTTTTGCCCAAAATCTACTTTAGTTTGAAGGAGGTTAGTCATTTTGGCTTTTAAAACTTCCAGTTATTTTATCAAATTGGTTAAGAAGCTCGACGTTTGCTGTTCCATCACCCTGCTGAATTGCCGTCAATGAAGTGTTATTTATATGTGATGCAATCTCGATATTTTTTCCGAGTACTTTTCATCTGCTTTATGTATTATTTATCTTTGCCTGGAGCTAATTAAAAACTAGGCATGTGCCAGTAAGTAGAGGCATAATTTGGTTATTATATTACGTAGGTGAGGAAAGAATTATAGCCTTTTTAGTTCATCGAGCTGGCTCCAGGTTTTTTTGTCTTAAAATGTCTTGAGATGAAAAATCTGATTCATTATTTAATGATTATTTTGGTGAAAACACAATGTGATCATGAAGATTAAGGTGATCTACTTATGGTGCTTGATTGTGCTGCATAAAAGGCACCGCTTGGAAAAATTGACATTTTCTATGGTGTTTTCAGTTACACAGTGGGTGTTGCAGCTGATAGTTGGCAGGCATTGATGGATCGTCTTCTAACGCTTGGTAGTGATCAAGTTGATGAAAAACGTCGGGTGGAGAGAAACCTTTGTCAGTTGATTGACATATATTATGATGCCTTAGATGCTCCTAAGAATGGTGGAATAAAGGTTAGTTTCTTATTTTACGTTCCTTTTTATTTAAGTGTCGGACAAGATAAGATTTTGAGTCTCTCAATTCTCTTGCATTTGCTTCTATTCTTTACAAGGCTAATGACCTAATTGGTATTATTATTTAGAGCTTACTTTTCCATTTTATGAGCATGCAATAGATACCGAAGTGCTCTGTGGCACGCTTTGCTAAATTTGCATAATTTCATAGTGCTTACTGTGAGTTGGATAAAAACTCTGCGTGATGCATCTTTATTCCTATTTGATGGTAGTTTTTCTTGGAAGTTATTTAGCGACTCTTTCTTTTGTACTGGAGACCAGATTAAAGTTCCCAAACTTTTGAAGGCAGAAACTTTCCCACATTACATGGGAAAGGATAATTCCATTTCCTTTCGCTCCAAATCTATCCTCGGATTGATTTTTGATACGGTAGAATCATACCAGGCAGAAATTCCAACCGGCAAAGGTGAGATTTTGTCTTATTCAGTTTTTTATTACTCTCAAGACCTTTGTGAGTTTGTATGATAAATAATTATAGGAATGGGACAACACTCATTTAAACTGGTTGCTCTCACTTAGCTCTCCGTACAATATGAAGCCTGGCAATATTTGGATTATCGTAAGTAGAAAGTTGACTTGAGATCATTGCATCAACCTATCGGCCTAAAAAAAGAAGGTACTCTTTCTCGATGGAGTTGGTTGATTAGGATTTTATCCTATCACCGAGTCACCGAGTTTAATGAACAGATTTTGTGTGTAGTCAAACATTTTCTTCTGCTGGTACTTATTTCTTCTTATAATTTTAATCAGCTCCGATTTTCGTTTTTCTTCATCTTAGCTGTTGAAATTTATGGGGACTGGTTTCTTCCCATGATAATTTTAGGGATCTGGAAGATCCCATATTTTGATGTGGAAATCCCGAATGACTGCCAAATGGAGTGGGGAAGACGCTACCCCGAATATAGAAAGGAGATGGAAGCTGCTCTAAGCCAAGGTGCAGAAGGGAAGGATTGCTCCCCAGATGATGTAATAAAGAAATATAAGCAGGTATATTTATCTTGTCTTCTCTTTTATGTTCTCCAGTCTTAGTCAGAACAGTGCTCTAGAGACAAGTTACAGAGGACAGAGAAGCTTGTCTTTAGAATACTTCCTGTGAGACCTAGTTTGAGAAGAGAGAGAGAGAGAGAGAGAGAGAGAGAGAGAGATGTGGTTTTAGGAAATTCATTTTCGCATAATTCTTCTGGTACAGTTGCTATATGGTGCACCGGATTTCGAAGAGAGCCCGAGGAGGTGGGACGATATTTTCAATGAGGCTCTCGCGATCTATAACATTTCGTACGAGTACGCGACAGGAAGGCATGCCGCGATCGGAGGGAAAGCCATCGGCTTATGCGGATTCGCTTGGAAAGTGGCAGGTCCTGCGCTCTGCCAGATTTATGCCATGAAGCAGGGGCAGAAGTCGATCGTCTGCCTACCCTCAGTTCTAAAGGAAATCTTCAGTTGAAACTTATGTTTGGCTTTAGCTTAAAGTACAATTGTTTATATCCCTCTTATTTATCTTATCATCCGCAAATCTCTTGTTTTCTACATAACAAAATACGCCTTTTAGGTTTTTACTGATAGAGGTGATCATTCCTCGGGCTCAACTGGGCCCTAAGGTTGGATTACATTTTCGCCGAACACCACCTATTCTAAGACGTCAAAAGTCTAATCAACAAGTTTTGAGACTTAATTACACTTTTTGAAAGTTTTATGATTCAATTGCACTTTCATGACAAGTTTTAGGATTGTTAATGTACTTATCTTCATTTATATTTATGGTTAATATCATGAAAAACTCTAAATTTGTACAATTGTGGTAAATTTATTCAAAATTAATTTTTTGACTATAAAAAACTCAAAATCGGTACATCTGTGATAAATTTACCAATTGTTAGTTTTTGTTAAATTTTACTGTTAAATTATTGAGTTGGATGACATGTGGGAGTGACGGGTGTATTAGGTGGGTGTTTTTTTTTTGGTAAGGTAAAAGATGGGGGTAAGTCTGTCAGACAGCCGTGTGACCATCCCAGCTAGAAACTCCGGCTGAGAACGATCCTCTATAGCTCTGATGGATCTAAGCAGAACCCAATAGAGCCGTTAATCACGCTCTGGTCACACAGCCTTGGTGCATCCACCAGACTTTGGTTCCTGTCTCCATAGGTCTTAAGGACACAGAGATACGAGTCTATAGAACAGATCCTATTCAAGTAAGGTAGTTGTATTAGGTTGGTATTTAATCCTCCGTTTGTTATAAATATATCAATTTATGATTTTTCGTGATATTAATTAAATATAACCGAAATTAATGGAGGGTGAATTTGTTATAAATATATCAGTTTGGGGTTTTTTATGGTCAAAAAATTAATTTGAGATAAATTTGTCAAATGTGTACAGTTTGTGTTTTTTTGTAATATTAACCCTTATATTTAAAATATTGGGCTCGCGCTCAATCGGGCCAGGTGTTCTTGATAGGTGCCATAAATGTCTCGGGCTCTTGTGGTTCGGGTTGGGCTTCGGTGGGTTTCAAAGGCCCGTACGCACGGTCAATGAACAGAGCTTAATTTCTGAGCCGCTCTCAAGTAAATATCTTGTTTTGAGGATGAACTCTCTGTTCGGTGGAGTAAGTCATCAAAAGCGGATTGCACAGAAACATCTGTAATCGAAGAGGAAAAAAAATTTAATAATGAATTGCAAAAATATTTTGGCAAAAGCCGCTGATATTGTTGTGATTGGTCCCCTGTTTTGCTCGTCTTAAAAAAGTGCGCTTGATACGTGCGGCGACGAGGTTTAGCCGTTGCATTTGCGTGCTTGCACTCGACATCTACCTTAACCCCTCCGAAGCACACATAGCATTGACTACCATTGCCGCTACTTGACACATGTACTCGAAACTCTCTCTCTTCTGTCGGTGAGCTACTAGATCGTCGGCCGGCGATGATCGCACTGAGAAGAGCCAGTTCGTCGCTGGTAATGCTCGCAGCAGAACAAGGTCGATCTCTCTTCATCTTCATCTTTGACGGAAACGGATTCCCAGAAATTGCGGAAAAACGGGAAACACATTCTCTAAAACACATTGCAAAACGCATAAAACGTGCCCATTTTATACTTGAATCACCGATCGAACGAAGCATATTACGTAAACGAACATACCTCTTTGCCACAGATTAAATGCACCTATTGCAGCCTCGAGAGAGAGAGAGCGATCTTTCGATTGTCGAGTAAAGTCACTTTTTGGTTTCAAGTGAGTGAGAGTTTCTGATAGTGAATCAAATCCACTTACAGAATACATGTCAGTTTTTTTTTTCTCACTTTTGTTCCCACAAAATAATTGCCATTTGCAGTTATTTTCGTTCGTGGGCTCTTTCAAGGTTAATGGGCTGGGTTAGCCCATCATGGACGGCCCATTTATTCATAAAACCCATAATCTCCTACTCGTACATGGTGAGCTAAACATAACTCTCTCTTCTTTGCAATGTTCATACCAGTAAATAATCCGTGCGACCAGCATACTTCGAAAGCTCGTTGCCATGCATCTGTTAGGAATACATAGCAGCTCAAATTGGGCATAACGTTTTCGAGTAGATATAGTATGCAGTACCCTAGATCAATCAGTCACATTACATCTCTTTTGATCTCTTTTAGTATCTCGTATATTATATTCACAACTATAATTTACTCAAAATCATAATTGGTCAACCTGTGAATACAAAAATAGGATGTGACATCATAAATAAATTGATCTTTCTCTTTCCTTAAACCTCTCTATTTCAGTCCAGCTCGCTTTTCTAGAAATGTCCCATTAGATCGAATCATTCATGACCATTGGCAATACTCTAAGATAGCGAATACTGAATAGAAACTTTGAGAATAAGTCAGAGTCGTGAGGGCACTAAATGAAGAACTCATATCCTCAAGAGTCTCACACGGCATAAAGTTGAAATCAAAACTTTTGCCACTCTTATCGGTTGTCTCATGCATAAGTAGTATGAAATATGTATTACAGTATTAACTCATTTCCCGTGAAGCGTACGTCTTTACATTCAATACCGTACAGATGATAGTTCAGACATACTCAATGTCTAAACTTGAGTTCACGTATCTACTCTTCTAAAGAATCTATCAGAACTCACATCTGGCATCAAAGACAAATAAAGTAAAATGTGTGGACTATTTTACTTTCGAACATAATAAATGTTATGTCCTCATCTTAACACTTAGCTAAGGCGACATTTATATTTTAAGCTTGAGCTCTCGATTATTACCTAGATAATAAGCTTAAAATTGTCTCATCTCTATTTATCACACAGTAAATAGAGGCGATTACCCGTGTGAGTGGGTTAATCTTATCTGTCTGACATACTTTCTTGACATAATACACTAAGTATTAAGATGCATAAATATCAAAAAAACTCATAGGCAATAACAATGATATAACAATTTCATTTAAATGTGAACATTCAGGGAAATTACAACATTTAGTACATCAGCATCTACGCAGTCCTAGAGATTTTACATGACCATTGAAAATATTTCTAGGAATTGACTTCGTCATAGGATCTGCTATTATTCTATGCATAGATATGTACTGCAAGTTCGCATCCTTTCGTGCTATCATATCTTTAACAAAATTGTACTTGGTATCTATATATTTGGTCTTGCCATGATATTTCGGATCCTTGGTGTATGCTATTGCTGCTTGGCTATCACAATTGACTAATAATGACCTTGAAGCATGCTCAACAATACCTAAATGATCCAAAAATCTCTTAAGCCAAACTTCCTCTTGTACTATTGCTGACAATGCCACGAACTCGGCTTTTATGGTGGATGCGCTACACATATTTATTTCTTACTGCTCCAAGATATGGCGCCATTATTCTGTAAGAATGCAAATCCAGAGGTAGATTTCCTTTCATCTAAATCTCCTCCCCAGTCAGCATCTGAGTAGCCTTCAAGTCGCAGATCCTTTCCTTGATAACTCAGAGAATAATCAGCAGTACCCTTTAGATACCTCATGATTCTTTTGACGGCTTTCTAATGTGCTTGACCTGGATTGGATTGATATCTACTTACCATTCCAACTGCAAAACATATATCAGGTCTTGTACACATTATAGCGTACATTAAACTCCCAACAGCACTAGCATAAGGAACACGTTTCATTTGTTCCTTCTCTTGTGGAGTCTTAGGACACAATCTACGGCTCAATCCTTCACCTTTTACAATAGGAGTATCCATGGGTTTACAGTCACGCATACAAAATCGTTCAAGAACTTTGTTGATATAATAAGTCTCCTGCGAAAGAGACAATAATCTCTTTGAACGATCTCTTAAAATCTTTAACTCCAAGAATATATGCAGCTTCACTCATATCTTTCATCTCAAAATTGGACGATAACTAACTCTTAACACTATTAACCAACTCCATATTGCTTCCGGCAATCAGTATGTCATCATCATATAATGATAAGATCACAAATTGATCTTTGGATTCTTTGATATATACGCAATGATCTTCATCAATCATCGTAAAATCAGCGGCCACTATGGCATTATGAAAACGTGTATATCATTGTCTTGAAGACTGCTTAAGGCCATATATCGATCTCAAAAGTTGACATACTTTTTGTTCTTGGCCTTTCACAATGAAGCCAATGGGTTGCTCCATGTAAATTTCTTCTTCTAATTCTCCATTTAGAAAAACAGTCTTTACATCCATTTGATGTAATTCAAGATCCATACTTGCCACTATTGCCAGAATAAGGCGAATTGAGGTAAATCTCACTATATAAGAAAAAGTTTCCTCATAATCAATTCCTTCCCGTTGATTATACCCTTTCGCCATGAGGCGAGCTTTATATCTTTCTATTGAGCCATCGGCTTTTCGCTTTATTTTGAAAACCCATTTATTCCCAATAGCTTTGCGTCCTTTTGGAAGATTAACCAGTTCCCAAACATGGTTTGACTTCATTGGCTCCATTTCTTCTTCCATTGCATCTATCCATTTTTCCTTATTAGGGCAACTTAGAGCCTCATTTATATTCCTTGGCTCATCTTCATCTTGTGGAGTGACCATGAAAGTTTCGCCTTCAATGTCAAAACGTCGTTGGGGAACACTTTTGCAACTTGTTCGCCGTACGGGAGATTGTACACGTGGTACATCATTCTCCATTACGCTCCCACTTGGATTAGATAATGATGGTATCGTCTCATCAAACGGTTGCAATTGAGATTGAGTCGAATTTAATTCCTCATTTCTCACATTGCTCCCACTTGGACGATCTTCATCAATTTCATTATCATGATCCAAGGTTTCAAAAAGTGAATAGTCCTCACTTATTTCGCCCTTCTTAGGAAACTCATTTTCTAAGAATGTGACATCTCGTGATTCAAATTCAGTAATACTCCCACTTTCTTGCTCACCTATAAACACGTACCTTTTCGAGTGCTCTGAGTATCTTATAAAAATACTCTTCTTGCCTCTAGGACCCAGCTTCCCATACTTATGAGAGGGCTCGTGAATATAAGCAGCACAATCCCAAGGTTTAAGAAAACTTAAATCGGGTTTTCTACCTGTCCATAACTCATACGGAGTGGAAGTAACTGATTTAAAAGGCACACAGTTAAGTACTTAAGCA